GGGGGGGGGGGTTCCTAGTCATTAACTTAAATATGAGACCGCCTGGATAAAGAGTAAAGGATTCACAATCCCAATTAAGCAGCAGGATTGCCTGGAAATGGAGGCTGAGGCAGAGAGAGAAGGCGAGGATGACAGTAACAGGGAAGCAGGCTGCACTGGGGCTCAGGGGGCAGGACTGGGCCCACACCTCAGTCCTCCAGGGGTGGCCAGTGGACCACCAGCAGCATAGCCTCCTGGGAGTTTGTTGTAAAGGCAGAATCCTAAACCCACCGGCTCAAAATCTGCATTGTAACAAATCCCCAGATGATCTGTATGCTAATCCAAGTTTGAGAAGCACTGGATGGCAACTAATCAAGGAACTGCTTTAATACGTTTTATAAGAAACAGATGCAAAGTGATTTTTGTTTCCCTAAATTGAAATAATGACTTGGAGGATTTGGGTGTTGTTATTAGTGGTGGTGTTTTTATGGTTTTGCGTTGTTTTGTATATTTTTGTATTCATTTTTAGGTCCCTGTTTGTGCCCAGCTCAGGTTTTTGGTCCTAAACATTTCTTGCTATTACCCATTACTATCTAATCATCATCCTTTAAATTACCTGTGCTGGGCTGAGTGAGCCCGTTCATTGCAGCCCATCCTAGGAGGCCAAAGGCTTACCTTACAGAAGCCCACCTTTTCCCAGTGAAGAACTAGAAATTGTCAGTGATGGAAGGGTTCCCAAAGTTACTTTAACCAACCCTCTCATTTAACTAAGCGGGAATATTGAGGGCTGGCTAGGGACCTTAGTCATGGCTCAAGTTCAAAGTCACACAGTTAATAGGCAGCAGCTCCTACTATTTGGAATCCCAGTGTGGCCAGGCAGGTCTGAAGAGGAGAGAGCCACAAAGAAAATGGACTGTGCCTGAGCTGCCTGAGGGTTGTCCACCTCCCCAAGGACACTTTTGTCTCCCAAAAGTCTCCTTAGGATGAAACATTTTGGTAAATAAGAAGACTGGACACAAAGATAATGCTGGCAAGGCCCCAAACTTTTGCCCAGTAGGCTGTGATGCTCACAGTCCCTGCCAACAGCACAGGGCTGGTGCGGGGTACAGGCTGGGGGCCACCACATTCATCTTCTGTGGGATGCTACTGGTGATTTCTCCAGAGATTGCAAACTCCAGATCTTTAGATATGGTCTGGCTAGCAGATGTGCTCTATTTCGCTCATACAGGGTTTATAAAATTTCAAATTTGTTGCCAATGTTTTTAATCATGAGTTTCATACATATACCTGGCTTTGTGATTTCTCATGGAAAATTTGGTCATACCAGGCCCCAGTGGGGTGTGCCAATGATTGGCTGGGGCTGAGCAGGTGATGAGATCTATGGTAACCCTTCCATTTTGCTCAGTGGTGGGGAAGAGGAAACCAAGCAAGGTCACAGGTAAAGAACTTGATCGAGATCAACAAGGGGTGAGAGGCAGAACCAGGCCTATTAGGATCCAGAGCCCCAACTTCAGGGCAGGTGAGCAAGGTGAGATTATAGAGAACTATACAGCTAGAAATGCTGAAGTCTGTCCAAATGACAAGCCAGAAAAAAACAAGCTGAGTTGCCATCCATAAATTACCATAATTTATTGTTACCATTGCCTAAATCAAATACTTAACATAGCCTAAATCAAAATTTTAAACTAATTTAAAATTAGGGAAAGAACTTTCATTCATCCATTGTATAAATAACAAGATTTGGCCACTTAACTGATAAAGATTGTCATAGTAACCATCTTTCAAAATTGAGGGATAAAAAGACTGGATTTGGGGTGGCAAAACTATGGACAGGAAAGGCCTATGAGTCTTCTTTAAGCATTATCAAGTACAAAGCAACTGCATACAGAGAAAAGTCTTAAAAACCTTTAAAAACTCACACAATGCCTTACCATTAATGCTTCCTATGAGACTGTTTATGTGCCAATATCCTGTCCAATTGCAATAACTCTTTACATTTGCACTTTTAATATCACGAACTAAATGTTTTCTTGAATTTGTCTCTGCCAATATATTTCCTCTCATTTTTATTATACCTTTTGGGCATATTTGTCCATTGTTCATGAAAGCTGACTTTTTAATATA